TTTACAATAAAGGCTTACTATTAAAGTTATTAAATATGCGGATATTATTGTTTTAAAATGAGTAAATTTAGAAGGGTTTTTATTTTAATTTAATTTTTTATATTTTATGATTATATTTATTTGATGTGTGTGCATATATTGATTTAATTTAGTGATGATAGCAATGGAAAACTTTGGTAGATGTGCTGGCAGCATTGAAGTTGAAAATGCTTTTGTACAGAGTATAATGAAGATTCCTTCAATTCTTCATGTTGAAGAACCTCTACTGTCGCTTGGTAGCCATGGGAATAATGACAGAGTTTTCTTCTGCATTTTAATTAAAGTTAATGCTTTAGGAAGGGAAACATTTATGGCTAGGTATTTGTTTCAGAATTTATTTTACTTATATTTTCTTTTTCTTGAAAAAAATTATTTTACTTAATTACCATTTATCTTATTACATTGACCTTTGTTAAAAAATATATTTATTTAATAATTTACTTGATCATTAGATATTTTGAGTATGGCAGTTTTACTGCATTTTTTGAAAATGTTGCTCTTGGAAAGCTAAAAAAAGATTTAGGAATTAAAGAAATTCTTCCATATTGTGTGCTTACACTGAAGGATAATGAAATGGAACTTTTATTAAAAAATGAAACTTTTGGTCACAGAACTAAGAATGGTATTAGACAGTTATAAAGATGTGTTTGTAGTATACTAATTTACTAATACTAGATTACTACTTTAATTTTTTATTTGAAAACCTAGTTTTTATATGTTTATATCCCTTAAATTGTCTGTGGTTAATAATTGTATGCCAACCTTGTGTGTGTGTTGTGTGTATATATATATATATATATATATATATATATATATATATATATATATATATATATATATATATATATATATATATATATATATATATTTATATATATATATATAACTTTTAATTAAAAAAATTATGAAAGACAATGTTTTACATGGTTTTTATAAAGGTAGCAAAAGTCGTATTCACAAAAGCAGAACTTTTAATCGCTTTGTATATGATTGTAAAGGTGGCTTGAATGAAAGTCTAAAAAAATAAATATTTGAGCTAAATAAAAATGATTTTTGCATTTGTTTGATTTTTGCATTTGTTATCATCTAATTACTGCTTGTCTTCTTAAAGACCAATTATGGGAGGGCATTCATCAAGGAAACAAAAAGTATGTTAGAGAAATTTTCTGCATTATTTTATGGTGTGATTTGATATAATCACATTACAAATATGCAGCTCTATTTAAATATAAGAAAGAGTTGATTAAATACTTAGTAATTTTTTTCATTAAATTAGTGATGATTTTCTTTATTTGCAAAATTTTTATGAATTGATTGGTTTATTTATCTCCCAACTTTTATTAGGTATTTTATTTGCCAACCTACAGAAAAAGCAGGTGAATGGGAGAGTTCTCTTATGCTTCACAGAAGTAACCCCCAGGGAACTTCAATGTTCGGAAAACTTTGGAGTGTATTGTTAGAAAATCCATTATTAGAAGATCAATTTAGAATTCTTTCCGATATTCCCATCCATCATAAATGGAAATGGGATAAACCTGTTAAAATTCTAAGACATGAACAGAAATTTTCGAATTCATGCAAGTATTTTCCTGGTTCTCCAAGAAACCGAATTCTTCAGGCCTCTATTTATCGAGTTGGCTCTGAAAGTATTATTTTATCACTTTTTAAAAATGTATTTGGCATTAAAGAGACAGTAACATATCCATCTAGGAAAGAAAAATTATTTTTAATAGTTTCAAAAGCAAAAAAGAGTAGAATATCTTTCGAAGAGTGTTCTCTTGACCAAGTTAGTATTTAAGAATATTGATTTATTATAATGTGTATTATTTGTTAATTTATGTATCAATTTGTTTTAGGAGTTTCAATATAATTACTTACCTTGTGGAAATAAAGTTGTTTCAAACAATATTGGCACAATTTCTAGTAATGAGGTATTTTGAATATTAATTAAATCAAATCAAAGTGAGTTATGTTAAAATTATATCTAATTTGTCTTTTACAATAATTTGTATTTTACAATATTTTATTTCAAGTAACATACAGGAAACAACACACTTTTTGTTTCAGGTTAACTAAGTTTTTATTAGTAGCAATTAACCAAAAAAAACAGTCTTTTTGAATACTTTTGTGCTGTACTTTTTAGTCATGGTGTTCTGTGTTGGCGTGTTAGAAAACCGTCTTTGAATATATGTGTCATGAACAATTACAATTATGAGAGTGGTAATTTTCAAGTATGTTTATCATTTATTTAATGCAAATAAGTTTGTAAACAGCATGTGTATATATATATATATATATATATATATATATATATAATATATATATATATATATATATATATATATATATATATCTGCATTTTTTGTTATAGAATCTTGAATCTAAGCAGGTCTTGGTTCACAAATTGAATCATGAATCAAATCAGCATATTGAGGAAATTTATTTTTTTAAATATCTATTTCAAAAAAAAAAAAATTCTTTTTGGTGATTTTAGCCTTTTTAGACTTAAATTAAATTTCTTCCAAAAATCACAACAAAATAAGTACTATTTTGAAAAACTGAAATAAATATACTTTAATTGAATCTTGAACTACTTTTCCAATTTGAAATTTTGACGCTTTGTAGTTTTGTGGCCCTAAAATGTGTTTGTGTGTGTGTATTTATGTGTGTGTGTGTGTGTGTGTGTGTGTGTGTGTGTAATTAAATATGTGTGTAACAATTTTATATTTTTTAGCAATTTATAACTAATATATTTAATTCAAAAAACAAGGATAAAGAATTTGTTCATGTAAAAGCAGAAACCATATGTTCTTTGACTATATACAACTGCTCGTGTAAAACATTCTCATCGTGCTTTTTTTTTCAATCAAAATATACAACAAATGTTAATAATTGTTGTCATTGTCGGCTGCTAAACCAGTTAATGCAAATGCTTAATGATCCTGAATTCATCCCAGAAAATAGTTTATTGAGCAAAAAAAAACTTATAAATAGTTTAATCTATCTCACATCAAATGTTTTAAAGTTAACTTTCAAATCTGGAGTTGAAAGATATTCTGTAGTTGCTGATTCCTGTGCTTTTGTTACGATTTTTGAAATTTTAAAATCATCACGCAAAGTAATTAAATGTCATGATTCAGAGTGTCAAGTATCTGAAGGATCTATTCGTCAGATTAATAATCTACAAAATGGTTGCTTATGTCCGCACCTAAAAGTCTTTAGAGAATATTTTTATCTTCTTCAAAACACAGGAGAATCAATTTCTAATGAAAAAGATGAAGTGATTTCTAATGACTCTGAGTTAGAAGATAATATTCATTTACCAAGGGAAAAGGTTTTTAATTTGTTTTTTTTAATAATTTTTTTTTGCTTTTTTGTTTATTATTTGTGTAAATTTTTGTTCTAAGAGTGGGAAGATGTTTTCAATGTTGCATCTGGTTTATGGAGAATTAATGCACCAAGTAAAAAGACTTTTTCCCATGACCAATTTAATAAAAAGTTTAGCAGTGACATTGTAAATAGGCAGTCTGCTACCAATGGACATCGGTTTATACCTTCTATTGATCTAGGCATCTGTAACTGTGGTGTAAGAATGATTTTAAAAATTTTTTTTTGTAATAAACATTTGATTAATTGTTTCAATAAAAATTGATTCAAAGTATTTTACAGAATCTTTAGCCGTGAAGATGTGTAAATTTAGGTATCTTAAAATGTGGTAAAGGATAAAGTATATTGATAGGTCAACCAGCTACTGGTAACATGCAATCTAGTACAACCTGCTTTGCAAGGATGGCCTTCTGGTTATAAAAAATTGCCATAACTCTTCCATGATGATAATTTTAATTTTTTTAATTTTCATAAAATACTTTTCATTTTTATTTTATTACAGGCTGGGTGGGTATCTGAATCTGTTTTATCTGGTTATACAGAATTTTACCATAAAATTAATATGTATACAGATCGGGAAGTAATTGAATGTGATATTTTTTTGAGAAAATGTTTATCCAATACTTGCACATCTTATTGGGATGGCTGTGAAGACTCTGTTTTTTGCTTATCTAAATCCACTTGTGCAGGTTATGAATTAGGTAAAAAAATCTCATCAATTGAATGTGATGTTGTTGTTTTATTTTTTTTGGGAGGGGGGAGTGATGCATTTAATTTGCTCAATAATTAAGTTAATTTTTGAATTTGAATTTTTTCAGGTTGGGAGTTTGTTGATTTTGTTTTGTCGAAAGGAACATTTAGTGGTTTTGTTAGTTTGTATTCAAACAAATATAAACGTAGAAGTACCTCTCTTTTGCCATTTATGTCTACACAGACATTTATTGATTGGTTTTTTGCTTGGGCCTCCCATATGCACATTGACTTTAGAGAAAAATGTCATATGTGCCCAGAAAATCAACAAATCCCAGTTTTAGCATGTGATGCAACTAAAATCGGAATCAGCTTCATTAATCATTTGTAAAACCTATAGTCACCAGGACTTAATGAGATTATTTCTACACCGTTGCGACGACTAGATAGGTCATTTATATTTAATTCCATAAAATTAGATTCTAAACAGTTTTCAGATGCTAGGGTTTATCTAATAAAGGTTTGTATTTTTATTCTGTCTACTGACAACTCTGATTTTATAAATTTTGATGCTGATACATTAAAGTTGACTCAATTCTTGTGAATTACATTCCTCCTGAATGCGTACGATCATTTCAGCTAATGGTTTCTGAATCACCTGTTCCAAATCTTTTGCGATTGTCTTATGCCAAAGTTTTTAAAATTCTTGCTGCTGATAGCTCCTTAGATTTATTAATTCCATTGCGATTTACTGATGAAATTGTTTGTATATGTGAACAATTTTTATCCAATCAGGGTGATTGTGAACTTGTTGTTAAATTTTGTTATTAATTGCGTTGTTTTTCTCCAGAGCTAGCAAAACTCGTTGAAATATCCTCCAACTTCAACAATACACCTACTGGTGATATTTTGTTATTAATACAATATTGTTGCAACTTTGTAAAAAAAATTCATTTTAGTGATGTTCAACCAAATAATGCAGAAGTCATTGAAGGTACTTATAATCCACCACGATATGGTAGAGCATATTATTTTGAAAAACATGGGTGCCAAATAAGGAAAATGCGATTGTTTTCTGCAGATAAAAGCTCTAATAGTAACCTGTTTGATGAAATTCCATCAGAAATTTGCAATAAAGTGTTTCCACAAGTACCAAAAAAAGGTGTATCTTTTCTTTTTTTAAGGTTTTGCCCTATGCATGGCCATTGCTATGGGTTCCATATTATTCCAGGATCTGAGGGAAAGAAAGACCCGCATGCTTCATTGTATACGCACCTTGAAATTGCTACGGAAAATGTTGTTTATGACTTTGCTTGCAGCTTGTCAGAGTTTTGTCATAACCGTGAATCTGGATATTTTAAACACACCTCTTTTTTTCATGATGTATTTCATGGTTATACGCACAAATGTGCAGATGTCTTTCAGGGTTTGGGTAGGGTTTGCACATACGCACAAATGTGCAGATGTCTTTCAGGGTTTGGGTAGGGTTTGGGTCTTTCAACCGTTTGGGTAGTTTTTATCCAACAAATTCATCTATCTGCGAACAATTTAATAGCTTTTTACAAAATATAAAACCTTCTGCTAAATTAATGATTCAAACTCATTTTTGTTTTTATCTTCAATTTTTTATATATATTTGGAACCAGCGGAAAAAAAATTTATTTGAAAAAAGAGTTATTGTATCTTGACTATAGTGGAAAAAAGAGTTATTGTAGATTGACTATAGTGGAACATAATGTATAGTATACAACTTGCTGAAGTCATTTTTAAAAATCAGGTGCCATTATGGTTGACTTTAAAAAATTAACTGTAATCAATATGTTTAATATAAACTGTAATCAAGATGTTACAAGAAAACTATTATTTATATTTTAGTTAAAAAAAAATTCCTTTATAGTTCATTCTATATTAATAAAGAATTGTTTGCTGACTGATTGTCTGTTTCAGTTCATTCCATTAGTGGAATACTGAAATAGTCATTCAGATAGTTTTGTGTGTCAACATGCTACTAGAAGATTCTTTATTTGACACAGAAATTTGATTTCACTCTATGAAAAAGGTTAGATAAATGTTCTTTACTAATATATTAATGCTGTTGTTTTAGGAACATTCCCTATTATTAACATCTTTATATTTTTCATATTATGTATATTTGTTAATAATTTTTTGTTCTTAATTATATGTAACATGTAAAAACCTAGCCAAACTTTGAAAATGAATGTCTTGAATAACACAAGTTACCGATTTTATTTTCAGCCTAAAATCAATGGCTTTTTTTCAATCGCTTACAAAGTGCCTTTTGATCATTCGAGTTTTTAGACACTTTTAATTGTTTTTCTAATTTTTTTTTTTTAATATTTAGTTTGTATACTTAAACCGCAAAGTCCTAATATTTTCTTGTAAATGGATCATGTACTCAAATGGATCTACATTGCATGGCTGAACTTTTAAAGTTAGGTTAGTTTGTTTTTGCTTGATGAAACATCCATGATACCCAAACATACATTGAATGCAATTGATAGGTTATTAAAAGATGTTTGCAACAACAACTTTCCATTTGGAGGAAAAGTCATTCTTATTGGAGGCGACTTTAGACAAATACTGCCTGTTGTGAAAAGAGGACAACCAGCTGAACTTGTAGAAGCATGTATAAAATGTTCTTTACATTGGCAATGGGTGCAGAAGTTTAAGTTAACAGAAAATATGAGAGTACGTGATAGGGAAAGGGAATTTTCAAATTGGCTGTTAAGACTGAGTAGTAGAACAGTATTTGTCAAAGAGGAAGATCCTTTTAAAGGGTGCATTGAAATACCGCATCAATGCCTTATTAGGGAAAATGACTCCATTGTTAAAAAGGTATTTGGGGATGCCGAACAAGACGATTATGCTAAATGTGTCATTTTGACACCAACTAATGTGGATTCACTATCAATCAATGAAGAAGTGCTTCAACGTCTACCGGGTGAGGTCAAAACTTATTTAAGTGCTGATCAAGTTGAGACAGACAATCTTAATGAAAGAAATAACTTTCCTGTTGTGTTTTTAAATAGCTTAATTACCTCAGGTATGCCTCCTCATTCTTTAAAGTTTGAAATTAGTTGTATAATTATGTTACTTAGAAATTTAGATCTCAAAGCTGGGTTATGCAATGACACTCGAATAAAAGTTTGTGCTCTTCAAAATAATTATATTGATGCAGAAGTTTTGACAGGTGTTTCTGCTGGTAAACGGGTATTTGTACCTCGAATTCAGTTGGCTTCGTCAGATTCTAATTTACCTTTTGTTCTAAAACGTCGCCAGTTTCCTGTCAGATTGGCATATTCAATGACAATTAATAAAAGTCAAGGTCAAACAATTGATAGAGTTGGTGTATATCTAAAGTAACCGTGTTTCACTCATGGTCAACTTTATGTTGCATGTTCAAGAACTAGAGCATTTAATAATTTATTTTTTAAAATTGATAAACATCCCATTCAAGGTATGATAGGTGAAAAGTGTTACACAAATAATGTTGTATTTTCTAATGTTCTTAATTTATAATTAAGAGATATTTGTTATAATTTTCACTTTTTTTCATAGTTTTATTTTATATTGTTTTAGTAATTATATTTGTCTTTATACATGTTTATAAATGTTTTATGTGTTATGTAAGTGTTATATGTGTTATGTAAGTGTTATATGTATGTTATGTGTTAGTTGTTATTTTATTGTTCATGTAATACTTGGGCTATATGTGTTATCAAGGTTATGTGTTTAGGGTTTGTGTATATGTGTTTATAGTTTGTGTATATATGTTTATATTACATTGTATAAAGTATAAAGTTGAGTCATCAGCAAAAAGAGCTACTTTAGATGAAAGGTTGTCAGGAAGATCATTTATGTAGATAAGAAACAAAACAGGGTTCAGGATGGAACCTTGGGGAACCCCAGAAGTTACTGGAAATAAAGAAGAGTGTTGGCCTTCAAGGATGACTTTAATAAACCGGTTAGAAAGAAATGATTTGATAATCTCAAAAACTTTCCCAGAAACACCATATTAAGCAAGCTTATGGAGTTGGATATGGAGCAAGCTTATGTTAGTATGCTTTATAATTGCACCATATGGAGCAAGCTTATGTTAATATGTTTTATAATGTTATATCGTCACGATCATTACACAATTGCCTAAGTCATTTTTTTTTGGGGGGGGGGGGGGGGGGTTTCGGAAGTTAAGAGTTGAAATATATAGCTTAAACAGTCTTATAATGATGCAAATCGCCTTAGACCAATCAGAAAGGAGTTGTTTTTTAATTTTTTCACTTCTGCTTAAATCCGCATTTTTACTTATATCTTATTGCTTTTGACCTATATCCTATTGTGTCTCGACGGTAATATACATATCACTTCTAAAGCAATATATGAAAGCATCTAAGTAAAAAGATGCCAAAAATAAACCAAAGTGACGTAGCAAAAGAAATACCGAAGTTATTCATTTTTTTTTTTAGTTTTCTCAAAACAAGAAAAAAATGACTTAGACGATTGTGCTATGATCGTGACGATATGTTAATAGTTTGTTTCTTTGTCTATTTTATGCTGTGGTTTCAAAGTGGTTTGACTTTGCCATTGTATAGAGCAAGTTTAATGTGTACTTATAAATATCTTATGTGCTTTTGTTGTGCGTTATCGTTGTGATGATTTGTGTTGATAGACAGTTGACAACCTTCCCGTTGGTGTCTATCGTTAAAAATGATTAATTAGTAGTTCTATTCATGGAGCTTACTGTTTCTAATCATTCACTAAAAGCCAAGACAAAACATATTGTTATAAATACAATTTGTTTATATTTCAATTTGTTTTATTTTATCTTTAGTGTTGTGCATAGTTCTATTCTTTAAAACATTTTTAATTGGCTTTTTAATAAATGTTAATTTTTTCGTCTTTAATAAAAGCCAGCATGAAATAATGTCATTGAACAACACCATCAAATACTGCTTCATCAAAACAGCGACTGCAGTTTGCCAAAAGCAGGTTAATTGTTTCCTGTTTTAAAAATGTTTTTCTTTTCTATTATATTTACTTATCTATTATATTTTTCTTTTAGACACCATGTGACGTATTTATGTGATACAGGAGAGCACAATTAATAACTATGTTTTGTTATTAAATAATAAAGTTTTGTGAAAAAAAATATTTATTATTAAATAAACTTGTGATTTTGTAATAAACGGAAGGGTTGGATTTTAGAAGTATGAAATATTTGAAAATTTCTGTTTAAAATGCATTTTTCATCTATGACGAAGAGACCTCTATGTAATTAACTAAAATTTAATTATGCGCACATTAAACGCTTTTAAGTTAAATAGAACTGTTTTTTTTTCCTTAATAAAGGAGAGGGGGTTACCAAAAAATTAATAAGTGTCCCGTTAGACATTAGAAGTTAACATTTATATTAGTATTATAATAAAAATTTTTAACTGCTTTAAAAATTTAAAGATGTTAAGGAAAATTTCAACTAAATGATAAAAAAAACGCCTTTACTCTAAAAAAAAATAATATATCGAAAAAAATTAGTTTTTGTCATATTTAACAGTAACTCCGTTATGTTAATTATTATGTCTTCTTTTTAACATGGTGCCTTGGAAACACTGTCTTAGTCTCACTTAAATAAGAATTAATAAAGCGAGATAAAACCTGACTAAGTACGGAGCTCTTGGGTACTTCTTAACACTATTGATAAAGACCGTATATAAACATATTTTACGCGTTGTTTGCTGTTTTATAAAAGAATTATAACTATAAGCAATGACAATGCTAACAGGGAGCCGAACTTTAAATGCAAATTTATCTGAAAAATTATTTACAGATAAATTTGTATTAAGATACATTTTTATAGATAACGTAGTAAGTTATGTTGTTACTAATGGTTTAGTTATTTTTAACCCGTATTACGGGTTGCTTACTGCTAGTTTAAATAAATAGTGATAACAATAAGTATAAAAATTAAGAAAAAAAGTGATAAATATAAGAAAAGGAATAATAGTTATTGTAAAAATTATATAACAAAATTAACCACAAAAATAAAATTCATGATAACATCAACAATAATATTAACAATAATGAAAATTAAAATAAAATTAATAATAACATCAATAATAATTATTATTAATAACGTTAACAACAATAATAATTTAAAAATAATATAAGTTATAAATTAAAGTATAATAATAAAAAGTAAATACCAATTACTTGATATGAATAATAATATGGGAATGAAAGTAGTAATTATTTCAAAGTATGTATATGTATATAATAATAGTATAAACAAAATGATAATAATAATAATAATAAAAATAATTATAGCAATAATAATATTAATATTAATAATAATAATAATAATAATAATAATAATAATAATAATAATAAGGAACAACACTAGTACTTATCAAACATATAATAATAAAACAATAATAAAAATAATAACAATAATATTCTAAATGCAAATGTATGTGTACACACATAGTTGTGTACACATACATACAGCTATGGCCAAAAATTTTCACTCATTTTTTAGTTGGTTTCTTAGTCTTTAAATCAAAATTAAGAAGATTCTAATTGACATATTAAATTTTTTTTTTTATATCTTGTAAATTAAAACATACGGATAAAAATGGTATAATTTTTTCAATCTAATTCTTATTAAATAGCGTTTAACTTATTAAAAAAATGATGAGTACTTATAAATCTTCTTTAAATAAATTGGAAAAAATTTAAGGACCACTTTTAAGTCTTTAATTTGCACTTATTAAAAATAATAATCGATTTTTTTTTTAACTGTCTTTATTGCTTATTACGTTGGCTATAAAATAAAATGTCGAAACCTGAGTTTCGAAATCAAATAAACATTTATTTTTTGAATTGCAATAAGGATATAAAAATATTGCAAAAATGTGTGCAAAGATCGAAGAAAAAGACAGATACGCAGCTCTAGTATTAAAAGAAGAAGGCTATAGCCTCAGACAAATAGCAGAAAAGCTCGGAAGGTCTCACTCTTGCATTATCAACATAATTCAACGATACAAAGAGACCGGGTCAATTAATGATTGTCATAGGACTGGACGCAATAAAATTTCAAATGACCGTGATGTTCGCTCGATAGTGAGATTAATGAGAGAAAACAGACAAGCATCATCTACAGACTTGTCTATGAAATGGACACTGTCAAATGGTCTGAAAGCAAGCCCTAGAACTGTGCAAAGTGTCATCCACAATGGCCTGCTGCTAAATAAAAAACCAAAAATTTGCAAGGAAAGAGTGGTGCAAACTACATTAAAATTATTCAACAGATCAGTGGAGCCGTGTGGTCTTTAGTGATGAAATAAACGTTGAGGTAGACAACAGAAAAGGTCGCGTAATGTTGCGTAGACTTCCAAGCGAACGGTTTGATAAAAATGTTTTTCTTTTTTTGATATCTTTTTCCAAAATAAAATTATACTAAGGTTAAAAATAAATTTTGAAAAAAAAAGAGTGGTTTTTAATTTTTGGCCACCGCTGTATATACATACATACATAATGCCCTGGGAAGGTAACAATTTCATACAAAATCTCGTAGAAGAAATAAAATTGTTATAAATTTATAGCTAGATAATTATTAGTTATTTACAACATAATATATATATATATATATATATATATATATATATATATATATATATATATATATTTATATATATATATATATATATACCTGTTGCATTTGAGCAATAATATGATTCTTCTGCTCAATTGATACGTCTTCATTCATCTTTGCTTTTTTTTTTCTTACAACATTGAAACTTTGAAATTTAAAACCTTATAAAAAATTCTATACTATTTAAATTGCTATATATGTATATATATATAAATATTTATATATATATATATATATATATATATATATATGTATATATATATATATATATATATATATATATATATATATATATATATATATATATATATATATATATATATATATACACATTAAAGTACTGTGGCGATAAAAACTGATGTTGTGCTTTGTTGTAGAACATACTATTATGTTGACCTAAATTCACAGTAAAAGATAAATTGATTGTTGCAGATTTAGGTTGACAAGAGGGTATGCTCTACAGTTGTTGAGGCAATAATAGACAAAAATAAGTTAATATAGTTTTTTTTTTATCTTTAACAAATTAGTATTGATATAAATACATTTTTTTTAATTTTTTTTTAATAATAAAGCATCTCTAAATCACTTTTAGACGATAAATGTTTGGTTTCCGAAATCTAATGCTCTTATTATTTTCTATAATATAAGAAATGAGAACTCAATGTTGAAATTTGAAGTAACTTTTTGAACTGAGCTTTAGAAAAACATTTTTTATTTT